CCCACGGAGGGAAGGGGATCTCTCAGCCCGGCCCCGCAGGCGGGTGGGATTCACACCCAGCTGTTCTACCGGTCACGCACCGCCCCACGAAAAAACGGCCGTTTAATAACTAATAATCCCAACACGAACACCAAAACAGAGTAATCTATAGCTCGTTTTACAGTGGCAGCTACTGCGACTTCAATCTCTTCGTGGGCTCCATGGTACGAGTGATGAATTCCCTTTCCGCTGGGCTCTCACACCAAGATGTCTCTTCACAGGGAAAACGTGCAATTGATGTTCCTGCTTTGATCCAAAGGCTCCGGCACTGCATGAGCAGAGCACTCTCTCGTCTCGAGTGACCCGCTGTGGAGAAAGTCTGTGCAAGAGAAAAGGAGCCTGGGGCAGAGCCAAATTAGTATTCCCCAGTAATGGGATTATCGTGACGACTAACCTTGAATTTCCTGACCCCTGTATGCCAATCATGATGTACAGGACCTCGCACAGATGTTTTAACTACCCCGGCACACCTACTCCATGGGTGTTTTGGTTAGATTTCAAGTTGTCAGTAGGTCTCTTCCAACACCAAGGTCTGCGTTGGCTCAGCACAGAGGTAACTGAGACCACAGAGTCTGAGCAAAGGCACCCCAAAACAGCAAACAAGGATTTGCCTCATAGGAAGTATAACAAAATCTGCCTGAGGTTAATGCACTCTGAGCCAGGAGGTTACAGAAGTTTCTAGGAGCAGGATATTGTTTCTCCAAAGGTGAGCTGAAATTACAGAGCCCCCATTTGAGAAAAGAGGGGTCTATATGTGCAAGAAGCTTTCCTGTCCCTAAGCTTTTCACAACAAGGTTTGGAGAGCAAGGAAGGGCTGGAGGACAACCTGCTTCAGGGACAGGTGGGGAAGCCTTGCATTGCCAGATGTCCCAGCATGACCACCAAGGGAGGCAACTGGTTGCCTGAGCCCCACATTACCCCGAGACAGTGAGGGAGCCCCTGCTCCCTTCCTTAGCAGACCTGCTCCTGAGGGAGAAACTCAGGGGGGCTTTGCGGGTACCCGAGCAAGACCCTCTGCAGGGCTGGAAAAGTCATTGGTCCGTGCAGTGCTGCAGAGACTGAAACCTGTGCTTCGGGGCTTGAGGTTTACACAAGCCCAAGAGCCTTCGACTCTTGGTGGAAGGAATCGAGGGTGTAGATCAGTTACAAAACGTACCTGCTTATTTGGCTTATCTAGTTGAAGGCAGATTTTTAAACCTTCATTAGAAATGATACCTTACTCCATGGCGTATAGAGTGTCACTGTTTCAGCCTGCCTTTGCTTTGACAATCTTGAACAAATGTACCTGAATGTCAAGGTCACATTAACTTCTGCATAATTCTTGGTTTAATACATAACTGGGATTCACCCTGTAGGCTACTGGTTGGAACGTGGGAAGGTCAAACTGAAAGTCAGCTTTATTTTTATTTATTAAAGGTGAGGGGTATTTGGATCACAGATGTTGGGTTTTTCCCTCTGTGGTTATACAACACTGAGCACACTGATGCTCCTGAAGGACAAAGATAATTGCTCTGTGCTGAAGTGGTGAAAGGATAACTTCTGGCTGTGCATGTCATACAGCCCTGTATCGGCTGTGGAAATGCATAAACACACCTAGCTACTGATTTTAGTGACATGTAAACAGAGCTCCTGTGCATGTCTAAAAAGACTTCAAACCTCCATGAGACAGACAGACCATAACACGCGGCACATTTGCACACTCTGCTAGAGGAAGGCTGCAAGAACCGTAGCAAAAAGGGAGCGGGAACAGCTGAGAGAAGCGGGATGAACACTGTCAATCTAATCCTGATCTGCTGGCCGTGCCACCTGAGGGCTGGAGACCATTCCCAGACTCTCAGCAGATCTCTGGGCTGCCTTACAGAATGGTAGGGGTTGGAAGGGACCTTCAGAGATCATCTAGTCCAAAACCCCTGCCAAAGCAGGTTCACATAGAGTAGGTTGAACAGGAATGCATCCAGGCGGGTTTTGCATATCTCCACAGAAATATTCACTCACCCAGTGTCCCCTCTGCAGCAACACCAAATTTTTCACATTTCAAAGACAAAACTCTCCCTTCCCCTACCAAAGAAAACACTGTCACTGCTGCCACCAAACAAACTCCTTGTGAACAAGATGTGCATTGGGAAAAATCCTTTTTGCTTCTAAAACCAAGTATATAACACCAGAGGTCTGCTTGCAGTCAGCATTTCACTACATGGCTGTGTTATGAGCACATTTATGGCTCTGGTGTCTGAGATACGCCATTCTGAGGCTGATATCGATGCCCTTGTTCGTCAGCGCCAGTGTGCTCAACGTGGCACAGGCACACTGTGTCCAGACCCACTGAACTCCAGCTTCCACCCGGGCAGAGCTGCAAAATGCCAGTCAGCGATCCCCCAGCAGGTCAGTGGCCGAGCCAGAAACAGCCCACGTCTCAGGCCAGCACCAGTAACGCTGTTTCATTAATGCCCGTATGGTATTTAAAAGACCATCGCAGCCCAGCAGGCCAACCGTATCCTTGGCTGCATCAGAAGTGTGGCCAGCAGGCCAAGGGAGGTCATTCTTCACCTCTACTCTGCTCTGGTGAGAGCCCACCTGAACTACTGTGTCCAGCTCTGGAGTCCCCAATATAGGAAAGACATGAACCTGTTGGAGTGGGTCCAGAGGAGGCCACAAAGATGATCAGAGGGCTGGAGCACCTCTCCTGTGAGGAGAGGCTGAGAGAGTTGGGGTTGTTCAGCCTGGAGAAGAGAAGGCTCCGGGGAGATCTTATTGCGGCCTTCCAGTACCTAAAAGGGCTACAGGAGACCTGGGGAAGGACTTCTTACAAGGGCATGGAGTGATAGGACAAGGGAAATGGCTTCAAACTGAAAGAAGGGAGATTTAGATGAGATATTAAGAAGAAATTTTTCACTTTGAGGGTGATGAGCCCCTGGCGCAGGTTGCCCAGAGAAGCTGTGGCTGCCCCATCCCTGGAGGTGTTCAAGGCCAGGTTGGACAGGGCTCGGATCAACCTGGGCTGGTGGGAGGTGTCCCTGCCCATGGCAGAGGGGTGGAACTGGATGATCTCCAAGGTCCCTTCCAACCTAAACCATTCTGTGATTCTGTGGTTTTCTGGGCTCAAATGTATACCTCACACCTTTCACAAGGATTAATTTGCTTTTGGCCGTTGCTGCAGGCAATACCTGGAAAGGCTGTTGGTCATCTTAGATGGGGAACAATGTGCGTGTGTTGCCTCTTCTCCTTCAGCATCAGTGCTGCTCCCGTGGCCAGGGGCTCAGCAGAGCTCAGCACAGCAGCGGTCCTCACCTGCGTGCCTGCTCATGCCCCTGGAGCAGCCCTGTGGCTCCTTGTTGGTCTCTCATCCTCCCATAGCAGGGCACGGGCAGCTAGGGAGTGCCTAAAGCTATTAGCACGGCAGTAATTTTGATAAGTCATTAAGTGGAGAGGGCTGGAAATCAATTAGTGACTCACGGGGCTCAGGCACCATGCCATAGACGGAGCGGTGTTGGTTGTCACACACCAAAGTCCATCTCAGCCGGGGTGCGGGGCTTCCTTGGGGTGCAGCAGCAGTTGGGGTTAGGCAGAAAAAGGCTGATGGGACAGTCTGGGGAAAAAAAGAGATCACTGAGGGGGTTGATAGGGGGATGGAGGCGCAGCGCGGGGGGCTGG